GAAAATGAGCTTCAGTTAAACAAAAGTAAGTTGCGAGTGCGCTTTTCCGTGTGTCGTTTTTCGTCTTCAGTCAAGTTTGCGCCAACAATGTTTTACACAGCTACACGCCAACTAACCCGAAAACATACATTACTGAGCATGCGGTGCAGGCGCGCACCACTGGCGTACCCAAAGTGAGGATGGGGGAAGGAGAGGGTTCAACCACACACACCCGGAACTTTTTAAAGTTTTTCATGGGCGTTCAGCCATTCTCTGCGCATGTGTGTGCGTGCATGAAGAATGACAGAACGCGGCCCTCCCCCCCTTTCGAACAATGTTTCTGGCTACGCTCACGGTGTATACGATTGCGCTGGTATTCATAGATGGAGGCGCCCGTTGAGTTAGACACTAATGTGGTCACTCCCCTTATATATGCATGTTACTAAGAATCGCAACCCGCCGCGGTGATCTAGTGGCTAAGGTACTCGGCTGCTGACCCGCAGGGCGCGGGTTCGAATCCCGGCTGCGGCGGCTGCATTTCCGATGGAGGCGGAAATGTTGTAGGCCCGTGTGCTCAGATTTGGGTGCAGGTTAAAGAACCCCAGGTGTTCTAAATTTCCGGAGCCCTCCACTACGGCGTCTCTCATAATCATATAGTGGTTTTGGGACGTTAAACCCCACATATCAATCAATCAATTACTAAGAATCACAAAATAATTCTGTACCTAAAGCTCAGAATTTCATATTTACAAATAGCGCCAACTCTTCAAGAATGTAGTCTTCACATATTGTTACGGGGAAAATTTATTCACCGAGAGCTGTTCTTGCTAACGGCTTAGAGAGCGCACAGTCAAGCAGGCCAACGGGAGAAGCTCGAGAGTCCAACCCACAACAACAACGTTGTCGTCTTCTTCATTTGGGTGTCAATTCAGCTGTGTCGGGGTGACAGTTGCATACACGTATCATCACCCCGGCCCGTAAGGCACCATCTCGGTGCCTGTTAAATGAGCGAGTCGGCGTTGTAGGGCTTGAGACGAGAAACGTGGACTACTTCAGTTCTGGGGGCAGCAGCTGATGAGCAGCTGATGAGCTAACGGCGTGTACGATTGCGCTGGTATTCATAGATGGAGGCGCCCGTTGAGTTAGACACTAATCTCGTCACTCCTCTTATATATGCATGTTACTAAGAATCACAAAATAATTCTGTACCTAAAGCTCAGAATTTCATATTTACAAATAGCGCCAACTCTTCAAGAATGTAGTCTTCACATATTGTTAGGATTAATCCGGAGACAAATGTACAAGCATACATGTTGGGTACATGAGTTTTGTGAAGGCTAAAGCATCGTCTGTGAAATATAAACTGTTCTGTAGGTCGTGTGTGTCAGTGCTTGTGTGGGAGTGCAGGGAAGTGCGGTCAACAGTTCGTGCATGTGTGCCTGGACTAACGTTATCACTAATGCGATTACTGCTCTTATAAAAAGCAACCATCTTATTTTCACACCCACTCTTTCTTCGTACCTGTTCTTGTTAATAAATATTTGTAAATTTTCAAGCCTATGTGTTGCGCTATGTCTACTGAGGTTACAGCAGAAACTGAGAAGGATCACACCGTATACCTTAGGAAGCCACGTAGCCTACATTTTTCTGGTTAAAAACTAAACTTATACGCTCATTGTGGCTGGAACTGAAACATGTAGCAGAGCACGTGAGCAGTTTAATAACACTGATCGCCCATCTGGTTGATAACGTTGTCACTTTTATTGAATTCCCTCGAGATTCACCACCGCATAGTATACATCTTCGAAATGGCGAGAATTCCTTTAGCTGCAGTTGAAGGAACATGATTGTCCTTTCTTCTTTTTATTGTGCAGTGGTGCTTCTAGAACAACTGTATACTCTTATACACGAATGAATAATTAATACGTTCTACAAAGACGCGATCACGATAGGTCATTAGTTAAAAAAGTAGAGCTGGCATACAAACAGAGAAAAATATCTGTTGTGTTTCCCAACTATGCGTGTTACTATACGTTTTTAAATGTGGAGCATTTCTTAGTCCTACAACATTGCGCTTCAGCGGCAGCGGTGCCGTCCACACTTCCACTGCGCATGCCCGCGTCTCGTGTCTCGTGGCGCATGCTCCCGTCTCGTGCCATCTGTCACTCCCCTCTCCCTCTCTCGCCTCGCAAGGACGACGCAGGCAGTGTCTGCTAGTAAAAATCGACTGCTCGCGCTGCACAAGCGTTCATTGCCCCCCGTATATGTAGGCACTGGATTGCGCGTTCGGAATTCAGTCACGCGCGTCTTTACTTGGCTTTCGCTTGCTTTGATTGATTGATTGATTGATTGATTTATAGCTTGATAGATTGATAGATTGATAGAATGATACATTGATAGATTGATAGATTGATAGATAGATAGAATGATACATTGATAGATTGATAGATAGATTGATAGATAGATAGATAGATAGATAGATAGATAGATAGATAGATAGATAGATAGATTGATAGATAGATAGATAGATAGATAGATAGATAGATAGATAGATAGATAGATAGATAGATAGATAGATAGATAGATAGATAGATAGATAGATAGATAGATAGATAGATAGATAGATAGATAGATAGATAGATAGATAGATAGATAGATAGATAGATAGATAGATAGATAGATAGATAGATAGATAGATAGATAGATAGATAGATAGATAGATAGATAGATAGATTGATTGATTGATTGATTCATTATTTTATTTATTGATATGTGGGTTTTAACGTCCCGAAACCACCACATGATTATGACAGATGCCGTAGTGGAGGGCTCCGGAAATTTTGACTACCTAGGGTTTTTTGCGATTGAAGCGACAGTACCATCAACCAGTAATGGGTCACAACCAAACATCATCGTCCCACCTCTCATTGAAGGCAACGCTTCTCCTTCATTCAATCAATAAGAATACTTAAGACGAAAGAACAATTAGGCATTCCCACACTATTGAAAAACCGTCCACCATAGGAATGGTTGATCCACCATAACCATTTTGGTGGATTATGGTGCTGGAAATGTTGGAGGCACATGGTGTATGGTGGCGTATGGTGGAGCGAATGGTGGATGGCGCGCTCCAGCCGAGAATGCTGGAGCGTGAAGCAACGTCAGAACCACTGTGACGAGCTTCCCGCTAAAGAAATAATAAAAATAATTGTATAAAAACTATGTAGAAAGCACCCGTAAAAAAAGTGCGACAGCGCGGAACTGAACCTGCCATCTTGAGATTCCCAACTGAGCACATCAACCACTGCCCCACGCTGACACGCCGACAGATGGCAACTCTGGTGTTAAAGATGTAGTCAACTCACTAACTCACTGTTTAACTTCAGTGCTAGTTGTCGTCTACTCGAGATGGACGGGATCTGCGCCTGCTACTAAATACTAGACATTTGATAAACACGAAAAACTGCTGCCCGTAACAATTGCCACTGCGATAATGGCGACAGCACTATGTTTTTGTTACAATTGACAACCGCAAGAAAAAAAACAACTCAGTGGACTGAGGAGAACGTAGAGTTTATCGGTGGTTACTGCCAATTTTAATATCCGTTTCTCGCTCTTTGCCAGTGAAGTGCCGGCGAGTGCGACCGGCAGCTGTCGGTGAGGGGAGGCGTACATTTGGTGGAAGTGCTGCAAGCGCGTCACATCGATGTTTGTCGCTTCTTGCGCGGACACTGTACACAATAAAAAAAGACTTCGTTTAGGTTAAACGATACCACAGATGTGCTGTATTGTTATTTTTACTCGTCAAAATTGTAAATTCTGAAACCCAGAAGCGCCGATAACACTTGTACGGGCTCAGTCGGTAGGATTAACCTTTGGTGGAATTTGTGGTGGTATAATAGAAGGATAAAAGTCAAATTCGCTGGGGCTCGTCTCGACGCATGTCGAAAGTAAAAGTTTATGCATATTCGCACGCACATTTTTGGCTTAAAAGTACGGCTGAAGCAATAGTGTGTGCAAGAATCTCAAGAGTTGCGTTTCTAGCGTGGCGACATCAAGGGACCGCTGTGTTCTGCTCTAACATTGAAAGAGGCAATTGCGAATGGAAGCTCATTTATTTCTCGACAACTGCGCGCCGATGTACAACATTCATTGTCACTGTTCACAGTGACACTCCTAGTATTCTAAACATTACAACAAAGAAACACATAGAGGATGTAAGTACGTGAGCGAAATTTAAACATATTCATGGCCGCATATTCTACGCTCCACAAACATTTAGGCGTTGTTGACATCGCAGGAATACAAAAAAACGTGCCAGAAAGCGCAATGAGCAGCGTTGGTTTCTTTTGACCGTAAACAGATTTCTCTGCACATTCAAGAATGAAACACTACAAATATGTGATTTCACACACTGTCAGGTGCTTTTTCATCATGCCACCATCATCCGCCAAGCTTCCATCACGCCACCGTCATCTACCTTGCTCACCAAGCCTTTCACCAAACATGTTTTGCCTCGCCACCATCATCCGACATTTTCCACCGTCAGCACCATTGGCTCGATACCACCACCACCATCTGCCATCATTTTTTCCACTCTTGCCGTCATCAGCCATTATGCCCACTACAGTTTCCACCATAACCACTAATATTTCCACCATATCCACTATTCTTTCCATCTTATCCACCAACGATTCTAGCATCCACCAACTCAGGATTTTCAATAGGACAATACGCACACTCACGCGATGCTGCCCCCTCCCACTCTGTGACGCATTTACTCGAGTTCCTCCATGGGAAGATGAAGAGGAGGAGGAGGAATAATATTTATTACATGAAACGAGCAGATTTAGGTGGCCGGGCCTAGGCCTCCCATGAGGGGACGTCAAGGGCTTGCCTCGACGCTGTCCATCTTCACGAACGGCATTGCACCCGCCATGCTCACCAGAAATAATTGTCGCGTGCTTTCACAGTAGGTTGAATCTAACTCACACTTTTTGTCAATTTTTTCATCTATTCAGATCGTGAACGCAACGAAGCTCATTATAAGAGCTTTGCAAAATTTCACAATTATTACGCCATGGTTCAAGAAGCAAGACGCGGACTTGATCAACAGAAAGGTGCGGACATTTTATACGTCATCGCAATATCAGGTGACTGTAGGAGGAATGTGTTGTAGAGACTTCTCACAAAAGTGTTTATATATGCGATCAATAATTTAAGAAAGTCCTGACACGAATTTTATTAAATTTTATAAATCGTTGCTTTAAGTAAAAGTACTGGTGTCGAGAAACCTATAACTAGTGCCGAAGTTCTTAGGAATGCATTGCATATACTTTTACTACCGCTACCGCAAAACTGTCACTTCGACTTCGGTATCGAGGGTATGGCTTCTCAGTGACGTGTCAGAGCAGTGTGACGTCACGGGAAGACAGCAACTGACGACATACTAACGGCCAATCTGTCATCTGCTCAGTGTGCACGAAAGCAATGATGAGTGAATTTTAGTGTTGTAACCTTGATAGTGATTTCCGTGATGTAAGCTGCATGCTGTAGCTTGCAAACTCGGGTACTGTCCTGACTGATTGGGATAATGTACATCTCTGGAGCTGGTTTGCAGACGCTCTGTGACAAGAACTTTATCACCAAAATAAAATATTTCATACGTACTGTCATACTCTGGTGCGTGAAGAGCTTTGACACTGCACACCAAGGAAACGAAGAATGTACCCTTTGCGACCTTGCAAAATCGTGCCAGTACTTCTGTCCCCAAAAGTCAGTCAATAGACCAATCAATTAGCTTTTGAGCGTAGGGGGACATTGCAGTGGCCGTTATCTTCCTCCATAGAGTTTCATACATCAACCTTGAGAGGAAAGTGGCGTGGTGATCTTTCTACCACCATGGAAAGTACATTCTTCCGATTGGATGGCGTTTGCTAGTGAACTGTCTTCGGATCTTCTTCTACAGTTTCACTTGCGTTTGTCACGCAGCATTTGTAGAGGGGTGCGTTGCTAAGCAATCAAGCAGTCTTTGTTGTTCAAAGAGGCTGAAGACCGCTGGTTTGTTTAGTTTGCTTCAACGTCGCAGTTTCAGAGGTTGCATTTGACAATTTTGTCAAAGTGGCATGCACTCACTGCTGCGCCCAGATGTAGCAACCTCAGCCGGAACGCGACATCAAGTAAAGTTCACGTGTTTTTATAATCACTTCTTGCCAGAAGTCGTTCAAATCGACTCTAAAACGACGCCGAAGCTAAGCGACCAACCATCATGCCCTTTTGACTTGAATTCACAACAACACAAGAGATGCGTTGGCGGCAGGGCACTTGGACAGACGCATCTGCCATCGCAGTAGACGATGCGTTAAGTGTTCCTTGCTCAACGCAGGAGCATTATTTTCATTTAGAGATGGTGTGTACTTTCGAGGAATAGTTTAGCATGTTTGTTTTAGGTGTTGTAAAAATATTTATTCTATGCTTATGATAAATCTGGGATACAATGGTAAAGAAATGCATACCATGGTGGTTGAGTTGGTGCAGGTTTCCCTTCCATCTCAAAGTCATAGAAACTTCTTGCAGTAAATTTGACGTGCAAACAAATTAGAAATAACTTCATGTTCCTTAGTTCTACACTTAAAAAAATCAAGCTTCGCGAATCTCAAGAACGAAAAATATCCGAAGCAGATCCGAAGCCTATCCTTCCAGTCATTCCCATTAGTTGTAGAAGCACCGCTGAAGGCGTGCGCATAGACTAGCTCCACATTCCCCTCTAGGTATCACGTACGAAATTTTACGCCTTCGCCAATTAATGTGGCCGCCATTGTAGGTACAGTGCCCATTTTTATAAAAGGGAACACGGGAGCTCGTCGCATGCGCACTCCGGTGGCGGCTCGCAGCGCCTTCTAACGGGAGCGAGAGCAAGCACAGCCTCCTTCCGCGTCATTTCTCAATGAGCGAAACAAGCAGTCTATAGTGATACGGAACCAGCGGCAAACTGACATCCCCTCCCCCATCTAGATAACTACCAGCATTCTCGCGTAGTCGCTTTCAAGGGGGAGGGGGTGGCAATCCTGCCACTGGTTCCATATCATCAGTAACTGCTTGTTTCGCTCGCCGAGAGGTGACGCAAAAATAGGGTGTGCTTGCTCTCATACCCACTTGAGGGGCTACCAGTACTGCCGCCGGACCACGCAGGCCAAGCGCTCCCATGTCCCCTTTCATAAAAATTAACAGTGTACAAGGACCAAAGCATTGGCTCTTTTTTCCAAGTCAAAATTAGCTTTGAAAACTGCACCAACTTTGGTACGTGTTCCAGCTTAAAAATTGAGTTTTACAAGGTACAAGTAGCAGAAAAGTATGACGCGAAAATACGCATTATTTAGTTTCATGAACACTTTTTACACCGACGTACAAATGTAAAATTGTAACCGTGAGCTGCTATATTAACACACCTAAGTACACATCCCTGTGGAAAGAACCTTACAGAGTCCTTCACAAATAATAAACGCACTAAAGTACACACTTGGGCATTCTCTTAGCACTGTGTAGGTATGAATTTTTCGCTGTACCTAACCAATTATTCCCAATTTTCTTTGCACCTATATCAGTATTCAAGGCTAGTTTGCGAAATTATTCTTTAGCTCTTTCTACCGATTTACCTTTATTATTAGTGCACGCGAAAATAACTTAAATAGGGTTGTACGCAAACATTAAAATAATGAAAAAAAAAACATCCATGAACGTTTTATGCTTTTTGTATTGCTCTCGTTCACTTTCGTTCACTCCGTTTCCTCAAGGGGAGGAGTATACTTCTACGGTTGAGTCGCTTTGGCTGTCTTTTTTTTCAGCTAGGTTTATTGAAAGTGGTTGCTCTCGCACCAGAAGGGGCTAAGCTACATCATTTCGTCCAGGAATACTACGACAAAGTAAGATGTGCCTAAGCGGGAGGCAGCAGAACAAGTGTCTCCACCAGCCTCCTATTTCTCGACAGGTTCCAACCTTGAGAGTGGACGACGGTTTCCTCAGGAATCTATTCAAGATGCAAAAATTCTCCACTGAAAGACATCTGGACCTTGCGATTGGTTCCGACAACAAGGCTTACGCGTGGGTCTCATTCAATGTTTACTTTATTAACTGCTTATTGTTTAGCTCATTCGTACCTTTTTGCTGCGACAAATTCGCTCAGTGACCCTCGTTAGTGCTTTGGGCCAGAATACATGTGATGTTGCTTTCTGTGTAATGCACATATGAATTACGCAAGGTAGGACGCTATCAAAAATCGTGAGCCACAATAAGAAGTTATTCTCATTGGATTACTCATTTCAGGTGGCCAATATCATCTCTAAGAAAAAGGTGTTTGCTTAATATGCAAGCCAACGTATTATGTGAGTACCCTTGAAACAATCTTGCAAAAGAATGATTATTCACTAAGGGTTTTATATGCATATTCCACACTCTAAATCTATCGGCAGGAATTCAAGTCTTACAGCTAGAGTTGAAGTATTAACTACAGTGACAAGTCTAATATGTTCATCTGTTTAACCCTATCGCAAAAGAAGGCTGACAAGTCGAGCAAGATAAAAGGTATGCTAAGACGATAAACTATAGTTGCACTCTCAACGTGCCGGCAGACCACTTGTGTCTTAAACGACTCATCCTAACCATTTCCCAAAAGCGCGTTGTAATGACGAAGCGTGTCCGCTTGGATTCACAGAGACCAAGCATTTGGAGTAAAAGAAAAGGTTTGGTTAGTTCAAAATCTATTTATTAGAGAGTAAAATTGACCTGCGTGTGGTTTGCTTTTTTTTACCGTCAGCGTTTTTTTTTTTGTAAAATGTGTTATTTCTTTAAAAGTGAACTTATTCGACAGAGGTGTGTGTGGCTGGGTGAAAATTCGCACGCATAGAATAAATTTTCCAGCCGCTTAGAGCCCAATTTAAAGTTGACATTTTTAAAACCATACAGTGGCCCGACGTTTCAGGACCAATTCGGTCCCTCCTACAGGGGTGGCTTTTCGGCCAGCTCAGCGTTACGGCCAACCTTGCCTTCAGCATATCTTTGAAAAACATAACGTTTATTAAATTCGAATATTCAATTTGTGACATTCAGTGTTTGAATTACCGGGCCGATTTGTACTAGCAGGTTCTTCAAAATTCATATCAAGGTGGTGGAGCGTTTTACTGAAAAAAGTAATGAATGAAGGTTTTTTTAAACCTTTACTATAGCCCCCCCCCCCTCGAAAAAAATTTCTGGCTATGTGCCTGGGTACTATAGTGACGCAATGTACGTTTACGTAACCCTAATAAGGGGCGTGTCAGCATGTTGCGCCGAAGCCTAGCCCTCAGAAGTAAGTGCTACAGCGTGCGTGAAATCGTCGAACACAATTCGGTCACACACGTGTAAGGGGTTGCCGTGATTCGCCTACTCTGTAAGATGTACATATACTATGACGTATCAGGCTGCAGTTCTCTTTTCAACTAGACTGACTCACGTCAAGTTACTACGAATTAAGCTGATTGATATTCGATTGATCGATATGTAGGGTTTAACGTCCAAAAACCACCATATGAATATGACAGACGCCGTAGTTGGGGGCTCCGATAACTACCAATTAAGCTTAACAAGTGTACAACTGAAGGGCGCAAAGGTTATGCATCATTTTTATTTAACATTATTCACTCTATGCCTGTGCATAAGCAACGATTTCACAGGTATAAGAAGTGAGCGCTGTCCTTTTATGGTGGCAGTCAATATTAATGAGCAAAGGTCTTCCTCGATTCTTGAGTTAGTTCGCCGCGGTGGTGTAGAGGCGGTAGCTATGGGGCATGGCTGCTGATAAAAAGCAAGTGGTTTGATTCCGGCCGCTGCAGTCACGTTTAGATGGAGGCGAACTGGTAAAGGCCCGTGTTCTGTGCGATGTCCGTGCATAATAAAGAACACCGCATGGTCAAAACTTCCGGAGTCCTCTACTACAGCTCACATCTTGGTTTTTATAAGTAAAACCATGTTTGCTGTTGAAGTAAAACCTCGTTAAGTTGGACTCGATTCCTGTTGATCGTGTATCGCTGAGTAATCAATTAGTTGTTTTCGATGTTAGAGCTGCATGAACTTAATTTACGAAATCACCTGCTACAAATGTTTAGTATCACCTGTTTCGCGATAACGAGACGACGGGTTCTTTTTAGTTCTGCCCACGCATTGCTGTGCGTGACGTTTGTTCATTCTAGCACCCACCCGCTAATTTATACTCTGGTAAATTCAAGAATTCTGTGGTCCCCTTCGACTTCTAATGAACAAGCTTTAACTGTAATACCCCTCAATTCTTGAGGTAAACGAGCATTTTATGCGAAAGTTTAACACAAAAAAACTCTAGACAGAGACGAAAGCCAAAACACATTAGCACCGCGTGTTGAGCTGTGTTTTGCACTTCTTTCGTCGCTGCAGTGTCTTGAGTTTTCTTGTTTTAAGCTTGCATAAAAACTAGCCCTTTGTCAAGGTTTTTTTTTAAACAATTTTGTTATCAGGCATTTCGAACGCGTACTGAACCTCCTTAATAGAACACAGCCAAGGATCAGGAACGGGGCACTTACCAACGACATTTACAGAATTGTAATTCATGTTCGTCACTGAAGCGTTGAATGATGAAAACACAACGCTCGTTTTACAGCAGCGAAGTAAAATCTAACATTTTGTGGTTTTTATATGCGCACCAAAACCGGAATATTATTAATAGGTGCTCCCTACTGGGGCAGACCCAGATTTATTTCACTCATCAAGGCTTTGCCAAGTACACGCATTCATGTACACGGATGTTCTTGCATTTCACCGCCACCCAAATGTGGCCGCTGAGTTGCACTAAGTGCTGCGGGAAATCCTGCGGCAAAAAGATATCCGCCATCAAATAAAGGCATGGGCACGCATTTTTTCACAATATACGGTTTTCAAGCAATACAGAACCCCCGCTGGGCAGGCGACGCGCTATGGGAAAAGTCGGTACGTTGTCTGTTGAACGGGTCACGTGCACCGGCCGTTTTTCGCCTCGCGCTGCCCGTTTGCGATGGGGAACCAAACGAAAAAGAAAACGCGTCCCCGCTTGTTGACTAATATTACATCCTAAATACCATAGGGAGCACAGGCTCGAGTTTGCGTAGCGCCGTTCACCGCGCTAGAGGAGAGAGGACAAAGCTCCGGTTGCTCGGACGGGCAGCGCTTGCTGGGTTTTGCCATTGCGCGCACGGGAAACGTGTTCCTTGGAGCGCTTATCTCGCATTTCGCACGCTATGGGCAGTACTGCTTCGTCAATCTGGAAAGCAGGCACGCACTACTGCTGCATTGTTAGCTGCTCCAAAAGTTTAAACATGACGAAGACCTAAAAACTGCCCGTCAAGTTCTACCATTTCATGTGCAAGCAGTGCGAGAAGCAAAGAGTTGATTATGGAAGTTTGCCAATACTCCGCGGTATCATTTAAAATTTTTTGTCGTGCTCAATACTACAAATTATGAATTACCTGAAAGAAACGTGATGGCCAGACTCATATTAAAATAAAGCGTGTTTGTCAACTGAAACTATAGCAAATAGACAACCGCTGTACATTTCGCGCTTGGGCTGTGGCTTTCCGAGACAACCATTCGTAGTGCGAAAGCGGCGGAGCTTGCTAGCCTAATACACTTGAAATACCGCGATATGAGTGCTTCAAGCGTTTTATTCAGCTGATGGCTGTAGACTTCTCTTCGCCACTTAGTGAAAACAGATTTGTGCTGCGGGTTCGCGCTGAGCGTTTATACAGGTCTTGCAAGCAACACCCACCGATCAGTTAGCATTAAGAGGTGTTGTAGTGCTAGGATCGAAATCATGAGTTCGATTCCCGCATACGCCAGCTGCATTTCCATGGGAGCGAAACGCAGTAACAGTGCGCTCAGATTTTGGTGCAAGAATGATAGACAGGGTGTGTGTGTGTTGCATTGTTTAAGCGTATGATGGTATGGCGCCTAATGTAAGCAGAAGTGACGCTCGGTGTGGGTGTGCCCTCTGCCAGTTGTCGTTGCGCCGTATACACTTTAAATAAATTTTGGTGCACGTTAAAAAAAAGAAAACTTCAGGTGGCCGGAATAAATCTGGAGTCTCAATTCACGGCGTGCCTCCTGATGATACGATAGTTTTGCCACGTAAAATATTATGTGCTTGCATGCGCCCGAGAGGCGGGTGATAAACAGCTGCCCCTATCAAAGCGAGTTTAAAAAAAAAACCAAAGCAAATATAAAACTTTCGATGGTTTCGCGAAATTAGACGTGGTTATCAGAGGCTAATCTCGGCGTAACTAAAAACATGCCCAATTCGTGGGTATCGTATAATATGACGATGACCAAGCGAGCTGTCAAAACAACCTAATCGACATTCGAATCAGTGAACACGCTGCAGCGTGATAAGACATGTATATTATCCGAAATGAAGTATGTGCAGCAAGAAACGTGCATGGTTGAAGTGGGCATAAAAACTGCTTTTTGTGCACATCATTATACTTTCAAAGAGCTGCAAAAACTAAAAAGTGTCATTGAACTTACGATACGACCTTGTTAACATCCGATGAAAACCTGGGCAAAAGTGAAATTCTGATGAAAGTGAGCACAGCGCAATATAATGCTGCCTGGGACTGAACAGGGCAGACGTAAGTTCAATCTTTTCACACTGACCTCCTACTAAATTGAAAGCCGCGTGACAAACTTGGCATTCAAGCAATAGAAATCTGATCACTATATGCAAATTCACGTGAAAGCGTGGTGGCACTTGCCGACAGCTCCAAGAAGACAAATGCCGCAGCGAATGCGCGTTTTTCGGTAACATACATATATAACTCGTGCCGTCACCTCACTTTTAATTTCATAGAAAGGCGGCTGTTCACGATTGACATTCACATAACACTCGCTCAAAGACATCGTGTTTGACTTGCTTGGTCCCGCAAAGGTTGTCAATGAATCGCTCTTGGTTCTGATAAAATTCACCTCAAGAAAACGTTTTTATATTCTTTTTAAACGTGCGGAGCAAGTCGCAGGTGACGCTGCACGCGGAGGGCGACCAGATAACAGCACGTGCAGAGCACGTCAACGTGCAGAGATAGCGCAGGCAGAAGAGGGGAGCGGGGTACCAAGCGACCGGCTTTTGCAAGAAAAGCGGCGAAACGCGTGCGGCGCAGCGCCCTCTGGCCGAGGTTGAAAGGCGCATACATGTCTGAACGCACTTGCATGTATATCTACGCACGAAATGCGAAAGGAATGATGCAGTCAGTGTGGTACTACCGAGCAGATATATGCCGGCGAATTGTAGCCGTTAAAGGGCCACCCACCAGGCTCCCAAAATACAAAGAAAGAGCGCAATCCTCTTTCCTGA